GGGGAGGAGGAGCGGGTGTTACACAAATTAAATAGTCAAATAAAATACACCAAAAGGCTTCCACAATTATTTCATCGCTGTCCTCTTCCACTGGCAAAAATCCCCACACGTGAGCCACAAATCGCGACCGGTAATAGTGACGTCGGCAAAACAAGACCGACTCGTCAAACACGTTAACCGTCGCACTGACACACTTGTCTCCCCTTCATGACGAAGCGAATATACAACATCGCCCACCAGCTGTCAAATGCACTAACCTCAGAGAACAACTTTTTTTCAGGAGAGACAGAAAAAACCCAACTTTCATCGCTTTAACAATCATACCTACAGCATGTATATTTTCTTTCTTTTTTTTGTTTCAACATGGTTTAAATTTCGTCAAAAACATCTCCAGTACTTGGCACCGATACCACTGACTAAGTAACTGCAATTTTAAAAAAAATGATATGCATTGGAATTACTCTCGGTGAACACTAGTTTCTTACAAGCACAAGACATATAAAAACAAGCCTATGACAAGGAGCCCCTAACAATCTTTTGAAAGTTTATATGGACAATCGACAAAGTTTTACGTCCATATCTGAAGGGACCGAGTCAAAAGGGGAAATCCGTGTACAGTGCCTTTCCCAAGTGCGCAACGTCGGACCGAGCTAAGGCTCGAACCCCCCGGAACCCGGAATCTCACGATAGCGGGTCCGGTAGCCAAACCATCAGGCCACCGACACCAACCGAGAGTCTTGACTTGCAATCGTACACAAAACAGCAACATTCACAGAAAGGGGAGGGGGGGGGGGGGACATTAAACCCCGAAGACACCAGTTTCAATTATACTTCTCTTTGATACATCCTGCGATAGAAGTGGAGACACTGAGACAGGGTATGACGGCAGCAAACGAATCGCAATTGTAAAAAGGCTAATCCCAAGTGACTTTCTGCCATATTCGCGGTTATAAATCAAAGTATTAAGTATACTACGTTTTATTTTCTGACAGCAAAAAATTTTTTTTTATAAATAAAAGAAGGAAAGAAAAAAAAAAGAAAAAAGGAGTAGAATGTGATTTCATCGTGCGTTTACACCATTCGATGGATAAAAAAGTGTCAACGGAAGTAAAAAAAACACGATTAGTCGATTGCGTTAATGTCGAGAGAGC